GTTGCATTAAACACATTATAATGTCAAACGGGCTGATGTGGCTCTAGAGTCATTATGGTTTATATGTTGTAAAGTTTAGTTTATTTATGCAGATTAGTAATAGTAATAATAATAATGATACTGTGGAATGTAAGTGACTGCACCTGTTAGAGTTTGTTTAACAATAAATGACTTTATAAAGTCACTTTTTTTGTTCTATATCAGTCTTTTGATCTGCCACAATAATGTAATAATGAATTTAAATGAAAATACCTCAAGTTGAAGGCTTTTCTCAGCAATTTTTAGGTGAGATTAAAAAGAGATCAATTAGATTAATTAATTACAGATCATAATTAATTCATCTCTCAGTTTTTTCAATCGCTTGACAGCACTAAGTGTAACTGTGTTTTGAAGCTGCAGACAGGGAGCCCAAGACAAATTTCCCCTTTGGCATGAAAAAGTTTATGTTATCTTAATTGTCTGACCTGTAACTTGGCTGACATCTGATCACCTCTATGGATATGAGTTCAATGCCTTACTGCGAACCATTCCAGACAAAGAAATAACATTTCCATGACAAGAAGCATGTGATCGACTCTCCATAAGAAATCTTACGCAGTGCAAGTGAACGCAACCCACTCATATAGGCAGTATAGTGACAAAAGTGAACAGTAACTTTTCCGCCGCACAATATATATTTATACCTTTCAAATTCAAATCCACATCTCTCTATACCACATTGAACTCACCTGTAGATCAGCAGTCTGTTTGTTACACAGGTGATCAATGCCACAGCTGTCAGCTCTGTTCTCCTGTCTCATGTGTCAGGTTCGTCATTGTTCGTCAGAATGAGACAACCGCACAAAAGCCACTTCTTGTTCTGTATGTTCAGAAGATGCCAACATGTTTCTCATGGTCGATTCAAGTCCATGTGCGATGATTCCTTTATTATACAGTGACAACACATCATGGAGAAGTCTCTGAGTTTGCAGTTCTTTATGCGAGCTGGGTTTGAGATGGCATCACGACAGTCTATAGGTATGGAGGCTTTAAATGACAAGCTGCTCACAAATTTTAGATGTTGTTAGCTGAACAGAGCAATAGGGCTATAATCTTTTCGTTGTTTAGTCCATTAATTGGTTGGTGGAGTCTTAGTCAGCCAAAGTCAATTAATCGTTTTACTTCGATTATGGTAAATGGTTAATGGTAACTTTTTTGTAAAGCGTTTTCCCACCTTCAAGGGACTCAAAGCACTTTACATCAAGGAACCACTCACCCAATTACACGCACATTCATACACCAGTGTACACAGACACTAAGGGTGAGGTGGGTTAAGTGTCTTGCCCAAGGACACAACGACAGCATTCATCTGTGAAAGCTGAAATTGCATCGCCAACCATGGATCAGTGAATAAACATCAGAGTCCTGCACCGAGTCGACGGATACGGGCAAATAGTTGATGGAACGGGCGGGTTTTCACATTCTGGAATTTTACAGGTGGGTATGCGGGCGGATAGTGATTACACACGAGCGAGACAGGACTAAACCAGAACTAAACCAGGACTACACCAGAACTAATCTTGGACTTAAGAGAGAGAGAGAACCTCAAGCCCGTGGAGCAGGGTGTCTGCAAAGCATGATCGGGCAACGGCTGCACTTATCTCCGTGGGGTGCGGACCCCTATGCCAGTCCTTTTGCCTGTGGTCACCTGACAGTCTGTGTGGGCACACCTCCGAGCCAGTCCCAACAGTGAGTCCTGGTTTAGTCCTGGTTGAATCCTCGTTTAGTTCTGTTTTAATCCTAGTTTGGTCCTAGTTAATCCTGTTTTAGTCCTAGTTTGGTCCTGGTTTACTCCTGTTTTAGTCCTTTTTTAGTCCTAGTTTAGTCCTGTTTTAGTCCTAGTTTGGTCCTAGTTTAGTCCTGTTTTAGTCCTGGTTTACTCCAGTTTTAGTCCTAGTTTAGTCCTGTTTTAGTCCTGGTTTACTCCAGTTTTAGTCCTAGTTTAGTCCTGTTTTAGTCCTGGGTTTAGTCCTGTTTTAGTCCTAGTTTAGACTTGTTTTAGTCCTGTTTTAGTCCTAGTTCAGTCCTGGTTTAGTCCTCCTTGTTCAGTCCTAGGTTAGTCCTGGGTTAATCCTGAGTTAGTCCTGGGTTAGTTCTGGGTTAGTCCTGGGTTAGTTCTGGGTTAGTCCTGGTTCAGTGCGTGGCGTGCACGGCGATAAAAGTGCGGCATCTCAATCAGTGTTTCTTCTGCTCAGTAAATCCCTGTGAGGTGATGACAGTCGAGTCGCGTTTGTGAATTCGTATTCGTACTGAAGAAAGTTTCATTTCATTTCGTGATTGTAATTCTTGAAGTTGTAACTTTTCAATTCATATTCTGATGGATGCTTCAGTTAGAATGATTTTAATTTGTGTGTGATTTATCACGGTCATGGGCGGGTAACGGGTGGAATGTTAACGGTCTCCAAAAATGGACCCATGCAGGACTCTGATAAACATTAGAAGTTATTTATTTGTTAAAAGACAGATTAAACCCGTGAATCTTTCTCCATATAAATACACTGTTTCCAAGTACATTTTCTGTACAAATAGTTGTTTTTTTGCGTGATATATAGAGAGATACATAATAGTTTGTTTTTGCCACACCAGTGTTTAGTCGACTACAGCCCTACATAGCAGAATAATGGACCTTGTAACCAACATAGAAAAAAGGACAGATTTTTTTTAAATATATATATTTTTACTGGATATAACAATGTGCAGATTTTAAAATTTTACAAAGATTCGATTTTCTAGCTGTTGCCTGTAAAGATAGTTGCACTCATTTGATGCCACTTGAAGTTGCCTTACTCAAATTTCTCTTAGAAATGACAATTTTTGGTTTTCCTTTCCAGAAAGTAAATTGTTAAAGCAGAATTTCATGACAAAAATCTAACTGCATCAGACAGTTTTCATCTGATTAGAAAACCTTTTAGCTGTTGCAGTGGTTCTCTTTTTCACACCTAAGAAAATATAAATCTTTCTGAGTATGACCAGGTCTAAAACTTCTTAAACAGGACTATTCCAGGTCTAAACCAGGACTAAACCAGATCTAAACTGGACTACACTACTGCTGCAGAGATTTTAACAAGGACTAACCTAAAGGAGGAAAAATTTGGATAAAACTCTAAATGATGTTAATGCTAGAACTGAATGGGAGTGTGTGTATCACCAGATGAAGTACCACAATTTGATTTTGAGAACCACAAATCTGTTGCAAACTTGTAAGAACCAGCCATGAGAGTCAGTATATGACACTTTGGGATGAGAGTTGATTGGCTGTGCATTGGTAGTCCACCTTGTTTTACTTTTCTGACTGAAAAAGTCGTTCTAACATTGTGCAAGACGCCTAAAAAGGCATGAATGTGAATACTAGTGCCAAAGGGTTTGTATGAGCTATTGGGACTAGTTAGATGCTTTAACTCTTATATTACTTCTTCGTTTTAATTTGTTTTTATTTGACAAGAACATAAAGGTCTTTACTTCTTCTGTTTATAGAGTTCAGAACAGTGTGGGAGACAATATTACAACATTAATGATCTGGTCTTCTCATAAAAGACAGAAAAAATGGAAAATACCCAAATGTGACTTTTTATGTTACAGACAAGATCCATGATTCTGCTGTATTTACCCGACCGTCTTCTATGTGTCCAAGTTTGTGGAATGCTTATCTACACAAATACTCCCAGACACTTGCCACGTTTACATGAGAGCTTTAATTCTGAATAAAAATCATTTAATTCTGAGTAAAAATTTAAAAACACCATGTAAACACAGCTGTAATGAAAATAATTATTCAGAATTGAACTTAATTCCGAAGTAAGTGGGTGGTTTATTCTGATTTTAAAGCCGAATTCATTTATTCCTTGATCATGTAAACGTTTATTCTTTTAAAAAATAATTCCGGTTGTTCGGCGCATGCTCGTTGGGTCGCCCTTCTGACGTGATCCAGACGATCTTTGCTTCAGACTTTCATCCACGTCTCTTTGGATTTGTGAGCGGGATGTGGGAGTGGGCTGAGGTAGAACAGCCTCACCCTTCTCCTCCTCAGCTGACAGACGTAAAGCGTGATGAGAGAATTCTCCAGCTGCTGCGCAATTATCATCGGAACGACCGCGGAAAAAGTTTGTATCATGTTTGTGTCCGTGGCGTAATGACAAACTGAGATGACAAAAAAGCAGGTAGTAGCTGAAGTGTGTGTTTTCTTCCAGTTGATGAAAATATGTTCATGTCTCTGTCCAATCAGAACCCTTCCCTACCCCTAGACGCTGAACGGAATTAAATAAAGACAATTTAACCTGTTTTCTATGTAAACCTCAATTTGGAATTATTATCTCCATGTAAACTCGAAAGAGAATATTTTAATTCCAAACTATTTAATTCAGAACAGTTAATTCGGAATAAAAAGATCATGTAAACGTGGCCACTGTAGCTCTGCTGAGGAATCCTGAAGTGTTCCCAAACCACAGAAAGACATAATCCATATACAAGGTGTTCAGGAGAAGTGGCTCTACTTGGAGCTCCAACTTCAACCCCTTGAAAATGCCTGTGTAACTTGTTTGGAGGTGGGTTTGTCACCTGCTTGGCTCTATGGAGATGTTATTACTGCAGTTTGAATTTTTAACATTCAAACAAAAGCTCCCTTGGATACAAGAAGATGATGCTACAAGGCCAAGATACAGGTCAGATCTGTGGAGAGGCAGGCCCACTCACAGTAAGAATGCATTTTTTTCCCCAATAAATCTATCTATAATTTAATAAAAATAGATATGTCTTAATGCCATACTGTTCAACATTCCAGGCAAAGCAAAAACATCTCCATGGAGACAAGCAGGTGGCCGACCTTCATCAGAAAAGTTAAATTCCATATCTTGTTGCAGTTACACAATCATCAGCCACTCTTCCTGCAACCATCTCAATGAAACACTGGAGGATTACATAATGTCGTGATGCCATCTGTAACCATAGAGATAACCCAATTTATTTTACAAAGGGAACACCATGAACCCGGAGAAGGTGGAGTACTGCCATCCGCCCACCAGGTTCCCCTTCTCCAGTTTGAGGTACACTTTGTCCTCCTTCTCCAGAAAGAGCAGCACTCCGTTTGTAGCAGCTTCACGCGTCACATCTTTGTCTCCAGCGAACGCCGAGATCACAGGCCTGCCGTTCAGCATCAGGTTCACCTGCACACAGCCACATCTTAGCACAGATCAAACTCTACAGCGGAATATATTTAAACAATCACAAGAATTGAATTTGAAAACAGTAACAAACCACAGATCTCATTTTCAAACATTTTAGCGTTCATTTAAACTGACCTGTGATACTTTGCAGCTGCACAAATAAAAGTGGAGAGTTAAAAATGACTCACTGAATTCATTCTAACATTTTCTCAGGGTCCAATTTGTTCTGGAGTTAATTTAACACTTTTGGAAATGTTAATTAAGTAACACTGGACCAAAATTCCTGTTTAATCCCGAAATCAAGAGTTATATTAATGTTTTGAGAGTAAACGGTGAGAGTAAACACTTTGTAGGGTTATCCTGATCTAGTTGAACAACACTCAAAGGTGTTTTATTTTTACACTTTTTTTTTACAGAACGCTGCAGCTCAGGTCCTTACTCCAACTAGGAAGTACGAGCACATAAGTCCTGTGCTCAGGTCTCTGCACTGCCTTCCGGTGGCTCAGAGACTTTAAAGCAGCTCTGTTTGTACAAGTGTCTCCATGGCCGAGCACCAAAGTCCATCTGTGACATGTTAGTGTCATATGAACCATCTCACACTCTGAGGAGCTCAGGGACCGGCCTCCTGCTGGTGCCCAGAGTCACGACTAAACAAGGGGAGTCAGAGTTTCAGGTTCATGCAGCTAAAACCTGGAACAGTCTGAACATGTGAGACAGACTCTTCTGTGACGCTGTTTAAATCCAGGCTCAAAACATTTCTGTTTAACTGTGCATATGAAAGGTTTTCATTCCACATTCTTCTCTCTAATTAATGTCTCTCTTTTTAAATTTTTATCTTTATGATTATTTATGTTTTGATGTTTTTATTATGATTTTAATGTATTTCTTATTCTGTAAAGCACTTTGAATTACTTTGTGTACGAATTGTGCTATACAAATAAACTTGCCTTGCCACTTTATTTTAAGTAAGTAAGTAAGTAAGTAAGTAAATCTTTATTTATATAGCTCCTTTCACAGATTAAAAAAATCACAAAGCGCTTTACAGAGCAAAACAAAATAAAAACAACATAAACAAGAATAGAGGACACAGTCAACTACAAGCCTGTCTAAAGAGCAGTGTCTTGAGCTGCTTTTTAGTTCATGTTAGTTAATTTAACATTTTGGGGAGTAGTAACAACACAATCTAAAGTGTAAATTAAGGTACACTGTAAAAAACACATTCAGTGCATGTAAAGACTTTATTTTCTTTAAAACATTGTAAAAGATTAAATTATGAACAAAACTGGTTCAAACTGGTGTTTTCTCACAGATGTTTGAAGTGGTGGGTGGGAAGTGCCAAATTAACACTAAGGGAAGTTGAATTAAGTTCAGTCAAATAAACTCTGGCAAATGACTCCAACTCAAACCCCCATTAAACCAACAATGAAATAATTTAATCTGAAACTTTATTGCTCCAGTTTTTGCTGTGTGAAGTCGTCAACATTCTCTGGGGGTGTGACGCTAACTGGAGGCATGTTCTGTCTGAGGCTTTGTTAGAATTTAATCTGAGCTTTACTTCAACACAATCTGTAGATGGAACTATAACAGACGAGCTGATTTTTACTGATAAACAAATCCATCTCAAATAACATGACAGTTAGCCAACAGGTTTTTAGTTAGTCACTCTCACTTTTTTGTTGAAAACACCAAAACAGAATCATAAACGCTCAAACTAATTGCAGGTTCCTGAAAATGTGCTGTTTTAATCCTTTTTTTTTTTGAGTTTTTGAGTTTTTTTTTCTTAATCTTTTTTTTGCCAGTGTTTCCTAATGTGTGCATTGTGCCACCATGGTAACTGCTGAACATTCTGCCATACACGTAAATGTAGAACACCCCCAGCGTGATGCTATTGTAAAGCATCACTTGGAGCCAGTTCTTTTAGTTTCCAGTCCTTCTGTAAATGATTCCAGGATGACGGTGCAGAATACTGAAACTCTGCTTTACCGGGACGAGGCAGGACTGTAAATGGGAGTATTGATGAATTGCAATGACTTTTTTTTTTTTTTTTTTTTTAATGTTTGAAATAGTTTTCTCAAGTTTGGATCTACAGTATTTGGTTAGTCTTCAGTTTTGTTTAGTTTTTTCTTGTTTGAGCTAATTGTCAAGGTAAACTTTTATTCAGTGCAGTTTACTTTCTTGAGAGATTAGAGGAGATTAGAAATACCATGAGGTCCTAATCTCTAGTCTAGACCAACTAATCAAACCAACCATGAATTATAGTTTCTCCTTTTTGCAGTTTTACAGAGATCTCAGTAGACTCCACTAAGATCTGGAACCAGACCAAAAACTCCTCTCCAAAATTCTGGTACCATTTAGAACAAAATATATAACTTCTTTTACCTGAAATAAATCATAGTTTGGTTCTTCGACTCTCTTTCTCATTCCTTTATGTAGATTTTTCTCATTTTTTATGTGTAAAAAGGAAAAGGGACTGGTTATGTGTAAAAAAAAAAAAAAAGTAGAAGGAAATCAGGGAGACACAACACAGCTCCAGATCCGTTCGTCTTTGTAAAATTTTGTCAAAGCTTGTGGTTTTGGCTGGTCAGGTATGTAATATCATGTTGACACATTCTAAATTAGGACTAAACCAGGCCATACCAACTTAAAGGGACAGTCCAGAATTTTGGACATAGGACCTCATTTCCTAGTGAGCCAGAGTGTTGGAGACGTGTGGAGACACTTTTTAAAATATTCCATCCAGTCCTTGTATTTGCAGAGGTCACTGGTGCTAGGCTAGTGCATGTCAATGGCCATAGTTAGCCTGCCACTAAAAACAGTCTTACCCACTCAACAAAACACCTGAAGCAAATCTTTTATTACACCAGACTGTCCATGTGAATGTCTGTGTTGATACAATAATTTAGAAGTAAAACCAACCTTGCATTTGAAGGATTTATGTCTGTTTCAATTTAATTTCTCTCCAGCGACTAGGTCAGGAATCAGAATACACTAGATGGTTTGCAAAAATCCCGGAAGTGCAAGTTCGGGCACCAGTCAATCAGCGAAGAGCCATACATTCAGTGTTGTCAACGATTCCCAAGATTGAGTATTTAAAGCCAGAACAAAGAGAATGTTTGTTGAATTTTAACAAGGGGAAAAACGTTATTGCCCTTCTTCCTACGGGATTTGGGAAAAGCTTAATCTACCAGTTAGCCCCATTAGCGGTGCATTACATACGTCACGACCAAATAGCAGAGATTAGTTAAATGATAAAAAGTACCTGCCTACTGTCAAACGAATTCTAACACTGTGAGGTCAGGCTGATGAATCAGGCTAGCAGTGAGTTGTACTTCCTGACAGAAAGCTCGGCAGTGGCGGACTGATATATGAGAAAATAGTCCCTCAACGTGTGATGATTCATGCGAGGCGAGGTTAGTTTTATTTCAAACATTATTCTATCAACACAGACATTCACATGGACAGTCTGGTGTAATAATAGATTTGCTTCAGGTGTTTTGTGGAGTGGGTAAGACTGTTTTTAGTGGCAGGATAACTATGGCCATTGACATGCACTAGCCTAGCACCAGTGACCTCTGCAAATACAAGGACTGGATGGAATATTTTAAAAAGTGTCTCCACACGTCTCCAACACTCTGGCTCACTAGGAAATGAGGTCCTATGTCCAAAATTCCAAACTATCCCTTTTAAAAATGCTCCAAATCCAGTGCAATATTGTTAAATGAGGACTTGTGACCACCTTGTGATGTCATGGCGTGGTAGTTTGCAAGTTAACAGCTCCTTTTACCTTTTCTTCAGTAAACATTGGCAATCCCAGAACTAAAATTATCCATATGATTCTAGTGAAGGTGTATGGAGTTTAAAAATACAACCGGGCACTTCCTGTATTACCACATGACATCAGGTGTGGAACAGAAGAAAAACACAACTCCAGGTCTGTTTGTGATGAGGAAATAACATTATAGCATAGATCAGAAAATGGTATAACACAGGCCTTTTAAGTCATTAGGATGTCAGTATTGGAGAATATTACCTGTATGGTTTGGCTCTGGTACACTTTGATGACGTGGAAGTTAAAACTGTACACTCCTTTTCTCGGGGACAGGAACACAGACTCAAACGTGAAGTAATTCCCAATGTTCACCAGGATCTGAAGAGAAAAACACATCACTGTGATAACTACTAAAAACCCTGAGCTAAGCATTAATTATACATGAGTCCAGAGGCATCCGAGTCTCTGTTAGATCATTTAGTTAGGTTAGAGTGCACTTTATTGTCCAAGTAAAAGGGTCTCTAGTTAAGTCTCCTTGGGGGCCAGAACATTTCCACTTTGCAGACCTGGGTCCACAGAAAATCAACAATGTTTAATTTGCGTTAAATAAATGCAAACACACAGCAAACACAAACAAATATAAAAATGATTCACACTTGCTCCCTGCGTACTCGTTTAATGGAAGGTTTAGTTTGGCAAAGCGACTGAGCGTGCCAAGAGAAGAGTGTATACAAAATCATATGCAGTAATGTTCAGTCTCGGGTGTAAGTTGATGAGAAAGCCTGACCTTTAACAATACTGATTTAGTTTAGCAAAGTACAGCCTTGACTGAGGATTGTACGCTAAGAGACGGATTTATATATACAAATACATGTAGAACACTAGTGGTCAATACATGCATCCCGAATTTTGGACTTCTGGTCATCGTGCAATGCATACTGGGAAGGGCCCTTCGAAAAAGTGAGCATTGAACCACCGTGTTTGATTTCCCAGTGGGATGCGTCTATCGTCAAAGCCAGTCTTTTGAACCATATCGCTTTGTTTCTGGTTCTGATATTGTCAAATTTTAGTTTTGGGATTGGGACATCTTAATTGTGTGGTTGTTGGATCCTAACAGTGGAAAACAGGCTTCGGAAGTTATGGGGCGAACTCCATAACTGCAAAAGGGAATCAGATATGTGTGACTGCAAACCTCCGTTCAAACTGTTTCCCTTCCCGACGGAATTGAAAAATAGAGAAAGGTGAAGGCAGTGGGCAGGATTGATCCACAGGAAAGACGAAAAAGGTAACCTTTAGCTGTTTAAGAAATTATCCTGAGTTTGCAGCGAACATTTTGTATGTCAAAGCGGGATCCCGTTTGTTAAGTGAGAGGAACAGAAGACAAGCAGGCTGAGCACTTTCTTGTTTGACTGACTATAGAGCAACATCACGTCTTGGTCTCTTTGCAGTGGAAGGTGTTTCTTGGTGAACAGCTAGTTCCTTCACTTTGGCTTTGGCTTTTTAAATTCATAACCAAGATTAAGCCAGGGATCGGGATTTTGCTTTAACTGTGCTCCACATACAAAATGTTCACTGCAAATTTGGGATGATTTCTTAGGCAGTTAGTTTCCTTTTTTGTCCTTCCCATGGATCAATCCTGCCCATCGCCTTCACCTTTCACTATTTTTCAATTCTGTTGGGAAGAGAAACAGTTTGAACAGAGGTTTGAGTCACACACATCTGACTCCTTTTTGCAGTTATGGAATTCGCAAACTTCCGAAGCCCATTTTCCGCTGTTAGGATCCAACAACCACACAATTACGATGTCCGAATCTCTTAACTAAAATATGACAATATCAGAACCAGAAACAAAAGTGATATGGTTCAAAAGACTTGAAAAGATCAGCTTTGACAATAGACGCATCCCACTGGGAAATCAAACATGGCGGTTTGCTGCTCACTTTTTCGGAGGATCCTTCTCAGTATGGATTGTGCAATGACTGGAAGTCCGAAATTTGGGATGCATGTATATTAGGATTTACACGTAAAGTTAATGAGAGAGCTTAACCGTGAACAATATCAGTAACTAATTCAACTGAAATGATGCATTCAGTTTTGGGATTAGGGTCTCGCAAGCCAGTGTTCTGTCGAAATAGGCTGTCCCATTGAAATGAGCTCCCAGCAGCCAAAATCGACAGTAAGGTCTATCGATTCACGCTGCCCCGTCGAATTAAGCAACCTTATGTTTTTCTGTTTACAGTTGTATAGATCCAATAAAGTGAACCTCCCCAGTTTGACAACGTATTTCTTTGGATTAGAGACGCAGGTTTGATGCTGTTTGCACATGGTGATCAAGCTTTGTACTTTAGTTATGTACAATTTTAACTCATTTATATGAATATGCATAGGTAGTTCATTTCGACAGTCGTATTCTGCTCAAAAAGGGCTCCGACTAAAGGGAGCACATATTGACAGGACAGTTTAGCTATCAAATAATGCTCCCACTGTAGAATCACCATTATTCACTTATTTAGATCAATTTGGGCAGTGGTAGCTCATTTTGCATTTTGTCAATGCAACTTTTTGAAACTGTCATACATGCATTCGTGACAACTCGATTGGATTATTGTAATGCACTTTATGTTGGTGTCGGCCAAAATGCACTTTCTCGGTTGCAACGGGTCCAAAACTCAGCGGCTCGACTTTTAACTGGAACCCGGAAACACGAGAGCGTCTCACCCGTTTTAGCTTCTCTCCGTTGGCTCCCAGTGTCTTTTAGAGTTGATTTTAAAATGATTTTATTTACTGTTAAGTGTTTGCACTGCCTAGCGCCCTCCTACCTCACTGACTTGATCCACCCTTATGTCCCCTCTCCAGTGTTGGGAAGGTGACTTTTAAAATGTATTCCCCTACAGATTACAGATTACATACCCCAAAATGTAGTTTGTAACATAATCTATTAAATTACTTAAAGTGAGTAACGTAATCTGAATACTTTGGATTACTTGATTTGCTGTACAGAAACCAAGACCAAGATATCTTCACATAAGATGTTTTGTCTGCTAAAAGACAATGAAAAGCACCAGACTTTACTGAACCGTATTAAAAATATTATTGATAGAAGACGAGGAGACACGGTCCACACAGCATGGTTTAGTCCTGTTAAATCCTGTTTTAGTCCTGGTTTAGATCTGGTTTAGACCTGGTTTTAGTCCTGGTTTTAGTCCTGGTTTAGTCCGGGTTTAGACCTGGTTTAGTGCTGGTTTAGACCTGGTTTAGTCCTGGTTTTAAGTCCGGGTTTTAGTCCGGGTTTAGACCTGGTTTAGTGGTTTAGACCTGGTTTCCTGGTTTAGAAGATGTCGGTCTGGTCTGGTTTAGACAAAAAAAAAAAGGCTGAAGTTAGTAATGAACCGTATTAGTGTTGGGAAGGTGACTTTAGATTCCTACAGATTAAGTTAGTAGTTTGTAGAGTAACGTACGAGATTACTTGTTTGCTGTACACAAAGACAGCTCACATAAGGTTTTTGTCTGCTAGTCCTGTTTAAAATATTATTGTCCTGTTTTAGTCCTGTTAATCCTGTTTTAGTCCTGGTTTAGTCCGGTTTAGACCTGGTTTAGTGCTGGTTTAGTCCTGGTTTTAGTCCTGGTTTAGTCCGGGTTTAGACCTGGTTTAGTGCTGGTTTAGTGCTGGTTTAGACCTGGTTTAGTCCTGGTTTTAGTCCTGGTTTAGTCCAGGTTTAGACCTGGTTTAGTGCTGGTTTAGTCCTGGTTTTAGTCCTGGTTTTAGTCCTGGTTTAGTCCGGGTTTAGACCTGGTTTAGTGCTGGTTTAGACCTGGTCTAGACTTGGTTTAGTCCTGGTTTAGTGTCCGGCAATGAGTGGAATTACTGAAAAAAAAAAAAAAAAAGGGGGTATAGCCCAAAATGTAAAAACAGGAAAATAGCGCCGTGTTTATTTCCATTTATTTCAACAATGTAACTGTAATCTAATTACCACTCTTTGAAACAGTAACTGTAACTGAATACAGTTACTCATAATTTGTACTCTGATTACGTAACTCCGGTACATGTAATCTGTTACTCCCCAACACGTCCCCTCTCACACTCTCAGGTCAGCAGATCAGCTCCAGCTCACCGTCCCAGAAACTAAACGTAAACTTCGTGGGGACAGTGTGTTTTCTGTTTCTGCCCCTCGACTGTGGGACCAGTTGCCATTAGAGATTAGAGGCCAAGTCTGTACCTGTTTTTAAATCGCTCCTAAAAACGTACCTTTTTACACTGGCTTTTAACAAGTGACATGTATATTTCTTGTTGAGTATTTTACTGTTTTTCTATGTTTTTAGTAGCTGTATTTTATGTGTACCATCTATTTGTTTTACTGCGATTGTTTGTCTGTCCTGTGTTTGTGTACAGCACTTTGGTTTACTGTCAAGTTTTTAAAGTGCTTTATAAATAAAGTTGGTATGGCATGGTATGAGAAGAACACGCACATGGACGAGGAATCAAACCTGAAACCTTTTTCTCTGTGAGGCGAGAGCTGTGCCACTGTAGCACCGCAGCGTCAGAGCGTTTATCAGCATAATCAAATGTAATAACCGTGCGTCATCGACAACATAAAAATGAATTCAATGCACTGAACAGAAATTCTAGCGAGAGTTTTATTGAAAAAATCCTTTCACTTTACAACAGACTGGAGGTGAAAAGCTTCTTATCAAAACAGTTCAGTAACGTTTAACATGGAATTAAGTGGGCCATGGAAAAAGTCAGTATTTAAAGGTGCACTGTGTAACTTTTATGGCGGAGGGTCTGTCATCTGCTCGTTTCTATGGATATGTCATTGGTCTGAATGTTCCGTAGTATGTCATTAAAGAGCTCTGCCTTACATTTATTCAATTACAGATGGATTTATAGCTCAAAGTTGCTTTAAAGGTGCATTGTGCAACTTTTCTTGTAGTGGATCTGTCACTTGCTTGTCTCCATGGAGATGTTATGTCTTTGTCTGTTCCATGGCATGATATTAAACACATCTATCTTGCATTTATTCATTACGGGTGTTCCTGTCACTCAAAAATACAATCATTCTCTCTGCAAATGGGACGACTCTCCACAGATCTGACCTGTAATGTAGCCTATAGTTGTTCCCCGTGTGATAGATAGGTTTAATCTCTACTGTGGAATCTTCCAGACAAAACAATAACAGCTCCATGAATACAAATGACGGACCATCCACCAGAAAAGCTGCGCAATGCACCTTTAAGTTTAGGATCTGCCTCTGTGGAACATTTACAGTAAAAATCAGACAACTAGAATATTCTGATAAAAATACATGTGTTTTTTGTTGCCTGGTTTTGTGTTGAGAAGACAAACTGTAATCCACTTTAGAAGGACTCAATCTTTAACATTTCCTCATGGTCTTATTTTTGTCTTTGCCACATAAGTTTGCCTTTTTGTATAATTTCTCTTGTCAAAAGCAGGTGTGAACAGTCAGAAAGAAATCAAACTACATCAGATGAAACTGTGTAACTGACATTTCACTCATCAGATCACTCTAGAAATCAGGTAATGATCAGATTAGTGTGTAAACATAGTCAGTGTCTGCGCAGACTTCTCTGTAAATCAAGTTCTCGTGGCTACATGTCCAGATTTGGAGAAGAGTCCGTATAAGGACAGTTAGGTGCCCTTACCCTGTAACGTCATGAAGCAGCGCTCAGTACAGCGGCTGCGTCTGACCCTCCGCGCTCAGATGATCAGCGCGCGTAATGACACCAGCATCAGCTCATTGTTATGTCATTCACACAGACGCTGAGCTGCCCAGACAAACAGAGTGTGGACAGGTGCGCGCGACCACCAGTGCCCAAAGGCGAATATGCGCGCGACACAGGGCAGCCCGCGGGACGCACGGCACACGCTCACAAATACATGTCTGTGCGCTCCTCATGTACTCCTCATGTACTCCTCATGTACTCCTCATGTACTCCTGATTTACTTCTCAACAATTAGATTATTCATATGTATTAAAAACGTGCAAAATAAACAAAACTTATAAAAAGGGAAAC